TATAGTTCATTTCTATTTTTTTCAATGCATTCTCTGGTCAACATGTGATAGGCCTCCAGGTTAAGATGTAGGTGAAATAAAACAACAGTAAAAGTGTCGGGGGGGGCTGACAGTGGTGTGCGTTAGTGACGAGTGTTAGTTTGAGGCACACAGAGAAACACACAGATAGAAATTAAAGTCAGGAGTGACACGCACAAGAACCAAAGGTGGTTTTCTTTTCTTTTTTTTTTTTCTTTTATCCGGGACCGCGACGAGGCCCGGACATCTCTTCTCCAACCCAATCTGAAACCGTGCTACAAGATGCATTTCAGTCGCCTGTGTCTACACAGATGCGGTGGTTCTACCAGTGAGAGGATGAGCTGTTTCAACTGACACCGTCGAACCTCTCTGGATCAGAAGTAAAGGGAGCGGTACAAAACAGAAAAAACATAAGGACACTGCTTGTCGTACAGCGCCATCTGAAGGTCACAAGTGGTGGTGGAACTCTTTTTTTTCTTTTTTTTAATAACTGCAGGAGAGTGGCAGGTTATGTTTGATAAATCTCAGTCACCCAATTCCACAGTTTGAAAAAGAGCGATAAGAAGACAGATGTTCGCTGCCTTTGGGTAAATTCTAATCGACCTCCTGCTAACTCTTTCTCCCATCATGTAGCTGTGGGTTCGGAGCTCCACCCCGGGGTTGGAAAAAAAACAATCAGCTGAGCAGACAAGAAAAGAAAACACACAGAAGAAAACATAATATGGAGAATCTGTCTTGTTCCTACGATCATTTGAAGTTATTATATTAATCGGGTTACCCATTATTACGTTCAGTAACAAAGAAAACAAAGATGAAGAGTTTCTCTCCTTTCTATTGGTCTCTTTCTCTCTGATGCCTCTGTTTTAACCCCCAAACCCTGGAAGACTTTGACATGTGACTGATTTGTCAGACTTACTCACCAGTAATTGACACCACATCTTTTTTTTTTTTTCTTTTTTAAATCCATACCCTGCTTCCCATTATATCGTTTTAAACCTCAAAAAAAGTTACTTCCACAAAGAAAAATATGTGCAATTCGTATCGGTGGCAGGCATTTGGCACAGAACAGACAGTAGACAAGCAAGCAAAAAGGTAATCACTTTGTTCCCTCTACGTACGGTAGTTATCTGATCTCCCCATAGCCGTCTGCCGTTTGATTTTTAGTGTAAATGAAGGTACAGAGAGAGGAATGTCATTCAGAGGAGAGAGAGAGAGAGACAGAAAGCATTTTTAATTTAAAAAAAAGAAAAAAAAAGAGAGAAACCCTACAGACCACAACAGAAAGGACTGAGGAACATTTCCCTCCACAGACAGTAGATTCTCATTGTTGCTATTATTAGTATTCTTTTGTATCATTCATGCAGGATTCCAAAGGGTGTAACGACTCCGCAAGTCTAGAAAACGAAGCCGTGTGGGGTGCAACAGAAGATTCAAGCTTCAATGTTTCGAAGAAGTAGAAGAGAAGGAGGAAGAAGAAGAAGCAGCTGCAGGAATAGAAGAAGAAATACTGCAGAAAACAGTTACTGGTTTGTTTGTTTGTTTTGTTTTGTTTTTTTTGTTTGTTTCTGAAACCCATCGCCGCATTTTTGTTTTTCTTCTCTCGTAGGTCATAGGTTGAGGTTGGTTCAATTGTTTGTTTCTGGGAGGAGTGTGTTCTCCGGTGACCGGGGTGAACGTCCCCGACACACCCGTCTGGTCCTCGAGATGCTTCCACAGAGGGACTCGTCTCCCCCCCCACGCTTCCCAACTCTCCCACCCACTGGGCCTTCTCACCTCATACAGGTGGACGGCTCTCTGTCAGTTTTGTTCTATTTAAAAACACAGATGATAAAACTCATCAATATTCAAGTGGTGGCTGGGAGGGTTGGATTTGATTCTTTTTGCAGCTGACTTGACAGAAGTCAGCTTTGAGAAGCAAAAAATAAACTAAAATAAAAGTGGTCGCTCTTTTGTCTCTGACTGTAAAGTGTCTTTTGTCGAGTCGCAACTCTTGACATCTTGTAAGTGGCTATAGCTCATTGCCAGAGGCATAATTTAAGACACAAAGACTAGTGTCCATCACTCCCTCCTGCCTGCATCCTTCAAAACTGCAATTTGAGATTGGTCTCATTTGGCATCAGGAGATGAGCAACAACAATGCGAGCAGAACGTGGAGGTGCTTTGTTGCCCCCTTACGCTACTTGTTTCTCCAGATTCTGCCTCAGCATTCTTGCTCCATCCCTTCTCCCTGACACCCGTCCCTTCGTCATGCCCACCATCCCTGGGACGTGCCAAGCAGAGGAGGAGAGGAAAGAATTGAACAGACAGGAAAGAAAAGTCGTGGTTTCCCTTGGCAGTCAGTGCTCTGGCTCAGAGCTTCTCGTCTTCTTTCGGTCCAATTATCAATTATTTTTCCTCCTCACGCCCCTCCCCGATCCCCAGAGGCTAGCACCAATCGTCGTCCTCCGTCTCACTGTAGGGTTCATGCAGGCCCTTGCGGGGACCCCGAGGATGCCCGGCTGGAGGGGGGACCTTGTGAGGCCCGGTGTGTGGGGGTCCGTGGAGATGCGTGGAAGGCGATGAAGATCGGTAGCCATTGGGCAGACGGCGCTGGGCGGCAGGCTGAACCTGGCCCTGAACTGGCCCGGTCAGGGCGGTGGTGGGGGGAGGCGCGTGGTGGGCAGTCCTTGGTGAGGTGCGACTGGGCTGAGAGTGGGGGTTGTTTACGGGGTGCGGCTGCGGTGGAGGGATGGGGTGGGGGTTATGCGGCTGTGGCTGCGTGGGAGGTGGCAGTGGGTGGTTGACCAGGGCATGAGGGTGGGGGTTGCCACCCTGCATGGGGTTTGGCTCATAGGCAGGAGGTTCATGGTGGGGCTCATAGTCCTGGTAGTCCTGGTTGTAGAAGCAGCCGTCCCCTTCCATGGAGCCCCCTCCTCCACCTGTGTCCCCCCAGCGAGGCGGGGGATGATGACCCTGGCGGGGTGTACCGTGGTGGGCCAGTGGGAGGCCAGCGGGGGGCGGGCCCTGGCCTTGGGGAGGTTCTGGAGAAAAGCGGCGAGGGGCCGGGGCTGGGGGTCTGCCCTGCGGCCCCCCAGGAGGGGTGGGCATGGCCTTACGGACTACGGGGGAGTACGTAACATGGGGCCGGGGCGTTGCCGGGGTCTGAGGCAACTGTCGGCGGCCTCGGCGTGGCGTACTGGTCCCCGAGGTTGAGGGGACAGGACTTCCGCTGACCGAACTACTGCCCTACACAAAAAGTGAAATAAAGCAAATAAAAAGAACGAACCACAAATTCAACGACAAAACATGTAGAATAAAGTAGAGGATGGGAAAGATAGAGCGTGGAACAAATAGAGAGGGAAAGAAGGGGATGCGAGGTAGAGAGAAAGCGAGAGAGTCCAGAGAGGAGAAGCGAGGAAAAGGACAAGAACAAGAACCACAGCAACGATAAGAATAAAAGCACCAGTCATCATGTAAGTGGAGGAGAGACAGGCAGAAATAAAAGGCATCAAAAAGGAGCAGAGCAGAGGATGGGGATAAAAAAGATGAGATTCCACACAGCAGCATACATAGAGAAGCAACATGTCACGCAGAGGAAAGAAAACAAAAGACGACAGGAGAAAAGAAGGGTAAAGGGTTGATTTCCAGACCAACAAATGTAGAACAGGGTAAATATGGCAACTAAACATACATAAATTGTGTTTGAAATCATTTTTGAGTCAGCTGTGTGGGCAACATGTCAAAAAAAGTTCATTTGTTTTAGAGCAACAATTCAAATGGGAACAGCCAAACCTCTCCACCTGGAGAGAGTTGGTCTTCCTTGGCGGTATTTTTCAAGTTATAAAAAATGTGCATCACAAAAGTTTTTGAGCAAAAAAAAGAGCATTTAGATCTGAAATGTTGTAGATAATGTGTTTGGGGGGAAAAAGGATGCCATAAAGGGAAACGTAGTGGGAGGAACATAACAGAACACCGGCGCTCTAAACACACTCAGGCAGCTAGAGACAGTAAGGTTCTCAAATATACATCATTATGCATATTTGTTGGGTCGTTGGTGATTTGGTAACAGAGACTTTGTTTAACAAACATTTTTACTCGTGTTTGCATTATTATACCCACAATAATGCATATGTTTGCGTGAACGTGGGAAAACATATATATACACATGTACATCAAGGGGAACTTTGCCATTTTATCACATTTCTGATAAAGAAAAACACATCTTAGCCTCTGATTTGATGGCGGCGGCAGCAGCAGCAAACGGTCCAGACGACGCTGATTTCAGCTATTGTTAAATCAAGCAGTAGCTTTCTGGCGGGGCTGAGTTTGTGGTACTTTGTAAGAGCGTTCTCAGAAGAAAAAAAA